ATTTACGTATTTAATATGTACTTGTCTATCTAGTGTACATATTACAAGAAACTATGTATGAACATATATATATTACCCTTATACATATAATTCGTAAACGCTTGTAACGGTAGATATCTGTCTGTCTCTGTTTGACTGATATTAAACTTGTTTTTAATTTCTCTCCTCACTTTTTTACCTGATCTCTCTTTCACTTCCGAATCTCTTTCTGTCTCCGTCTCTCTCTCTCTCTTTCTTTCTTTCTTTCTTTCTTTCTCTCTACTCTTCTTCTTTGGTTTTGCAATCTGTGCATCGATCCGTGCAACTAACTGTCTGTCGGCCGTCGTCTTACCAACAAAAAAAAAAAAAAAAAAAACAAAAAGATATTTACTTGTTAAACCGCTTTGACTTCGAGTCGCTGGCCGAAATGTATGTAGATAAATATATGCGGTATATATTATATATCGCGATAAATGCCTGTATGTACACGCGCGTATATACAGTGCGCGTTGAAAAGAAAATCGAAAATCGATCGCCTAATCGAAATGAAACGAGAGACGCGGAAAGTGAAGACGTCACCGCAGAGAGAAACTCCGCTCGGCGCAATCGCGCTAATGCGGCCAATTAGCACGGTGGGATTTAATTAATAACAGCGTTCCGTTGTGTTACGTGTGATCATCGCTGTCATTGCCTCATCATCGTCTCATCGTCTCTCATCGATCATCGGCCTGGGTGTGTTCGATTTGAGAACGCGTCAAAAGAAGAGACGCATCGGCGTTATTGACTTTCCCACGACGAACGTATCGCACTCGATTAATTGACTTGACTATATACAATATATTACTATTATATATCGAGGAGAAAGAGATTGCGTGTAGGTGTAAAAAAAAAAATGACTACAATTAAGCTGTTCGCAGAGAAATTTCTTTCCAGAAATCGGAAGGGCAGCGCCTCTCGTTTGCCGACAATCCCCGTGTGTCCCCGACGTCGCCGACGCATCTCGCTCATTTAATAATCTCTGATATCAAATCGTCTCGTCATCAATCATCGTTAACTCTTAATAATAACATCGACGTTTCATGTTCGTCATTATTGTTATCTCTCTTATTCTTTCGCCTATATTATTTCTTAACGTAAGCGGTAAATGCCAAAAAGACCGGTCGCAGTCGTGACTGATTAATTTATCTTTACACAACGCGAAGATTCAATCAGAGTCAATTTCTGACAATTATGACAATTTAAGTAAGAATTTAATCTCTCGACTTCTCGGAAATAACGTTTATCTGAAGGTTGCGTAGTATTTTCTCTAATTTTACTACGATTATTCTTTTATTATATCTTCTAATTTGTTTAAGATAATATAATGGAAAATATAATATTAGGTAAAAATGTAATTCATCACGCGAATAATGTTAATCATTACGACTGCAATCGATCTGCAAAGGGGTGGGCGAGCGATTATGATTACATCGTTGCGATTAGGATTATATACGTGTAATATTTCAGCGAAATAATCGCGAGCTGCCTCTGGATCTTCGTCTTCTTAGTTACTATTATTTTCTATTATATTTTCTATTATATATTTTTTATTATGATTTTACTGTTTATTATTATGCTCTACATATTGTTTGTTATTTTTTGTTGTTATTGTATTATTATGTATATATTATTATATACTGTTTTTTTTTTTTTTAGTTTGATATATACATATTCGTTATTTGTTCGTTACGCGGCACGTTTTGTCNAAGAGTGCGATTTTCCGAGTATTTTATTTTCTAATAGCAACTTCTCCAATTAAATAACACTGTAAAGCTGTAACGATTATACAAGTACGATTATAATATACGATTTAGTTGCGGTTTTGCAACTTTCATTCGTGAACTATCTTTCGTTTTACGGAGAATAGTTTATTCGATCGAGTCACATCGATTTTAGAATCACATCGCCTTNGGTACGACGGGACGTGCCCGTACGATTTTGTTGCTTTCTTGTCTGTGACTTTGTTTCGCAGTTAATTCTCGCATACGTCCACTGAGAAAAACGATTCTTTCATTTCCGTTAATGTGTGGCATCTTCGACCCTGTCGTAGACCGAGGAGATCGGAGCGAACACTCTGACGATGTTAGACCATCAAGGCGGTAAGCACAGTTCCCAAAGTAAAACAGCAATAAGTCAATGTCTCTCTTGCAAAAAAAAAAAAAATGAGCGAACGATTTGCGACAGTTCCTCTCTCTGTCTCGATGAACAGATACGACATGTTCAGTGTAAACAAAAAGAAAACAGAGAGGAAAACAGATAAAATGGGAGATGAAAGAAGGGAGGGTGGGGAAACAAGAAGAAAACAACAGAACTTGAAGGCGCGAAGTGGTAGGGAGAGTGCAACATACACGTGCGTGCCCTTTGTTATAACCGTCGATTTGCGTTTCCCCTCGAGAAGGGCGCGCTTTTTTCTCTATGTGTGAATTTACTGGAATCC